CCCCGGGGCCCCCGGCGAAGGCCAGGGGGGGACCAGCCGCTGTGACATCCCCAGTCGAGGTCAACAGCCCCTCCTCCCCCGCTGTAAACAGCGGTGGTGGAGATCCCTTACATCCGGTGTCCACCACCGGGTTCGGGGATTGCCGCCAGGACAGGCACCGAAGACCTTACGGCCGCAGCTTCGGACAGCCGCGTCAACAATGGAAGTGGAGAACATAGTCCATTCAGACTCAATGTCTCCAACCTCCCTTGGGACCTGGTCAAAGCTCTCCCGGAGATCGGAGCTGAAGGCCACCCTCACTGGGGATTCCGGCCCACGTCACTTTTTCGAGCTGGGCCCGGGTCCCGTGGGCAGAGACCCGGCCACCAGACGCTCGCCTGCGAGCCCCAACCCTGTGCCTGGCTCCAGGGTGGGTCCTCAGTAACGCCAATCCGGGCGACTTGAGCTTCTTAGTTTTTATTGTTTTCATCATCAAGGGTGGTTTGAATAATTGGTTAAAATAATTAATCAGGTCAAAATACACTAAACTGATCACAACAGAACACAAAAGTTACTAATCACTGAATTCAGGAACACTCTCTTATGTGTCACATTTTGTTGCCTTCCACTTCCTTATCCACTTCTGCTCTCTGACCATTCAAAGGAAGGCTGGTTTAAGACCTTATGAAGTGGCAAACACATGATGTGTTGGGAATATGTTTTAACAAGTCTTAACATGACTACTATTCCAGTGTCCTCCCTGTGGTGCACACACATAGCATTAATCTGTCCTGCAACTTAAGGTAATGTCTCTCAATTACATACACCTGCAATTCATCTTGTTTAAATGAGGTTTAACATTCAAACCAACTACCCTTTAGCAACCAACCAAGATTATTAAGATTAAAACTGACCAATTTTCATAATTGCAAGTACTGCGCTTGTATTAGTGGCATGGTGGGAAAAGTGTCACACATCTTTTAATACAGAAATCACAATTTCAATTTATGCTTTTACGTTCCTCATATTCATTCCTTTGTTGGTTTAAAACGAGCACGACATTTTTTTATTCTACTTTCTTAGCATTTTCCAATACATATAAGCAAACCTTGCTTAACCTCAGAATTAATTTTGGATGTCATATTAGAACTGTGGTACAATAATTTCCCTAAAACAATTAAGTTTGGATCAATTTCCTTTAGAATATCACTACACTAAAACAACACTGAAATGTGAATAGGATGACTTGCAGCTTCAGGGGAGCTTCAGTACAACTGATATTGTAACCTCAAGTCTCCATATTTATGAAAAAGGCTAAGTGGTTAAGGAAAAGAATTTAGTGCAGCCAAACTTCTTGCACAATCCCAGTCATATCGCACAACGTGCCCATTAGGCCAGGAATAATAAAATATATTTAGAATTCTAAACATATAAATGACTATTATTCTTAAGACTTGTTTAAATAAATCTCTTGGGCTACTAGCTTGACAGCATTTTCAAGTAAAACATGGACTTCATATTAATGTGGTACTCACTATCATTATCTCCATATTGTCTATGTTTCTACATCTTATAATGAAACCTTACCAAAAGTGTCCCATTAACCTGAATTATTACTGTAGTTATGATAATAATTTAGTTGCAGAACACACTGAAAATGATCTGATAGTAATCTATGAAAAAACAATACTTTTTATTGTTTAAATCAGTGGAGAGAACGGAATAGGTGGTGATGTAGTTTGTATGTATTTATAAGTGTATACGATCCAATTTACGATCTTATCTTTAAGCCCTTTAGGGTGCATCGACCATACGATGCAGGAGATGTACCTTTCTATTTAGGTCGTAGCCCTTATGCGGCCCAGTCTGAATGCAAACCAAATCAGGTGACATATTATGAATGAATCTTTCCCGGTAGTGGCAAATTAGAAATCAGACATTTTTTTCAGACACATAGTGAACGCACCGCGTAGGCAGGAACCAAGATATCCGCCAGATACAGCAATACAATATGTCATTGGCGCCTTAAACTACAGTACTGTAAATGATGAATGCAGTATGTACAGATACATGTTCTATGTATTTATTTAGTTATTTATGTGACAGCACCTGATGTCGGACGCGATACTCTATGCAATATGGAAGCAGGGACCACACGTCCATGCGGTACTTCCTTCTCCTTGTCTCATCCACACAAGATTGTGAGTGGGTCAAAAGTGAACCTTGAACCTGGTTTTTACACTGGACTGTGGACTTCAAACAACAAAGTGTAATATTTATTCGCCATCGGAAAAAGCCTGGGCTTATTGGTGGATCTGGAAAGACGTTGTAAGGCTTTGTATCCCTTGTCAGGGCTGAGGGTGCGGTTGTGCCGCTTCCTGCAGCTCGGTCTGTGAGGATCTCTCTCTGCCGAGTTAAGTTTTTCCTGCCGCACTATGAAGGTTAGCTCACCAAGTCTGCTTAATTACACACAGCAATGAGTGATTCACAGACGGAGCTACCATTAAAATGCCAATTTAATAAAATAAACAAATAAACTTACCTAAATTCAGTAAGTTCCTTCACTGTTCGCTTAAACTTTCTGCTACTGTCACTTGTTTAACGGCCGCTGAAGGCTAGCGCTCAGAAGCCAAGTCACGTTATATTCTGGTTCATTTTAGCTAGCGCACGCACTTTCTGTACAGCTGTATGTAAGTGGACAAATGAAGACCGCTGTTTACCAATTACAAAAAAATATAAAAACTTTGGGTACTTCGATTAAAGAATATTGAATTTTAACCTACCTCCTTAAAGGAAAACTTTAAGTATTCCCAAAAACGAATGTTAGAACACAACCCAACAGAATCCAGCACACTGATGCCGTTGCTGTGCTGCTGCTGACTAGTGATGTGCGGATCGATCCTGAAATATCGATACTTCCGATTCTGGATCTTTATGCTCTGAAATCGATTCTGAAATCAAAATATCGATACTTTTGATACTTACGCATTCTGAGATGAGGTGTATCCTAAACAGAAACATGGTGAAAAGTATCCAAATTATTGAGATGTTGTCTAAGTGACGCTCGGTTGGTGGGACTACTTCTTCTTCCGCCTGGGTGTGTGCGTCATGCTTAAGCACAGGGGCTCTACTCCGTGCTCTCACTCAGTCACTATTGATGGGAATTTCGGCTCTTTTTTGGAGAACCGGTTCTTTTGGCTCGGTTCACTGAAAAAATCCGACTCTTTCGGGTCCCAAATGGCTCCTCAGATTATTTATTTTATTTTTTTATTTATTTTTGTTTTACAAATAACATGTTTTCAGAGTTTGAAACATTGTTTTGACATATTTTATATGATTGTGTTCTCAAGGTTTTCTATTGTTGTGTTGACTGTATAGTAAATGAGGCAGCTACCTCAGTACACTCCAGAGTTTAAAATAAATAAATAAATAAAAACCTCAGCCTCGGATTCTTAAAGAAGCTATGATTTGAAATACACATGTTTTATTTAAAAGACAAATGATAAAATATCGATAACGGTATATGCGATACCAGCCCGAATTTTACTCGGTATCGGATCGGAAAGGAAATTGGTGGTAACGAACATCACTACTGTTAAGTTTCTGTATTATTTATGTTCCACAAGTATATCAGGGGAGAGCGCGGACGCAGTCCCCCACTACCAGAAATTATGCAGTCGAGATTCCCACATTTGGGGAATTCGCAGGGGTCAGCACAGCCGGAGTGCAATGGCTAAGCCTCGCCCTGGGTGAACCACCTTCTTGATCATGGTATCTCCCCTGCCAGGTAAGTATGAGTTGTACACGGGTTACACTGCCAACCCATACACTCGGAAACCCTTCTTACTGATGGTGCTACCACCTGGAAACGGTCACTATGAACGGCTCATTCTCTGTGAACTAATCTTTCGCTTCGTTCTCGCAGATTCGTTTCATTTGTCACGTGAAAGAGCTCGGGTCTTTTTTGCTCTCATTCATTTTCACATTGTGGTGTGTTTTTATTTCTTAGCTTTTCGCATGGTTTTAATTGCTTATGTCATTTTGTGTACTTTGTAAACTTTGTCAGCGGAAGCAAACCACGTTCCCTTCAGTATTTAGTGTCGGAGAACCGCAGCCTTCTTTACAACGCCCACAATAGGGCTAAAGCGCCACCTGCTGTAAAACGAATGAAATGATTAGTTCAAGATTCGTTCACGACTCATTCATTTTACTGTTCGAGACGATTTGAATCAATAAAAAGGGTCGGTCTTTCCATCACTCGTTCACAGCGAAAGATTCGTTCACTGAGAGTGATTCGTTCATAGTGAAAGATTAGTTCACAGCGAAAGGTTGGTTCACAGCGAAAGATTAGTTCACAGAGAGTGATTCGTTCATAGCTTAAAGCTAGTTCACAGCGAAAGATAAGTTCACAGAGAATGATTCGTTCATAGCGAAAGATTAGTTCACAGGGAGTGATTAATTCGTAGTGAAAATTTAGTTCAGAGCGAAAGATTAGTTCACAGAGAGTTATTCGTTCATAGTTGAAGATTAGTTCACAGCGAGAGATTAGTTCACAGAGAGTGATTCGTTCATAGCGAAAATTAGTTCACAGCGAAAGATTAGTTCACAGTGAAAGGTTAGTTCACAAGGAGTGATTCGTTCATAGCAAAAGATTACTTCACGGCGAAAGATTAATTCACAGGGAGTGATTCATTCATAGTTAAAGACTGGTTCTCAGCGAAAGATTAGTTCACACCAAAAGATTGGTTCACAGGGAGTGATTCGTTCTTGGTGAAAGATTAGTTCACGGTGAAATATTAGTTAAGAGCAAAAGATTAGTTCACATGGAGCAATTCGCTCAGAGCGAAAGATTCGTTCACGACGAAAGATTAGTTCACAGCGAAAGATTAGTTCACATGGAGCAGTTCGCTCTCAGCGAAAGATTAGTTCACAGCGAAAGATTAGTTCACAGAGAGTGATTCGTTCATAGTGAAAGATTAGTTCACAGCGAAAGATTGGTTCACAGCGAAAGATTAGTTTACAGGGAGTGATTCGTTCATAGCGAAAGATTAGTTCACAGGGAGTGATTAATTCGTAGTGAAAATTTAGTTCAGAGCGAAAGATTAGTTCACAGAGAGTTATTCGTTCATAGTTGAAGATTAGTTCACAGCGAGAGATTAGTTCACAGAGAGTGATTCGTTCATAGTGAAAGATTATTTGACGGCGAAAGATTAGTTCACGCCGAAACATTAGTTCACTGAGAGTAAGTCGTTCATAGTGAAAGATTAGTTCACGACGAAAGATTAGTTCACAGCGAAAGATTAGTTTACAGTGAGTGATTAGTTCATAGTGAAAGATTAGTTCACAGCGAACGATTAGTTCACAGGGAGTGATTCGTTCATAGCGAAAGATTAGTTCACTGCGAAAGCTTAATTCACAGGGAGTGATTCGTTCATGGTGAAAGATTAGTTCACGGCAAAACATTAGTTAACGGCGAAACATTAGTTAACGGTGAAACATTAGTTAATGGCGAAAGATTAGTTCA